CACAGCCTGGCTTAACATGGCAAACCTGCTCCAGCTGGGCTGCAGAACAGGTGAGCAGGGGTCATGTATCTGATGGCCTCTCTTCAGGGTTTGCAGCTGGAGCACCTCTAATTAAGCTGTGCTGTCTGCAAGGTGACAGAATAGTGTGGTTTGGGTTGGAAGGGACTTTAAAGATCACCTAGTTCCAACCCCCTGCCCTGGGCAGGGACACCTCCCACCAGACCAGGTTCCTCAAAGCCCCGTCCAACCTGGTCTTGAACCCCTCCAGGGATGGGGCAGCCACAGCTTCTCTGGGCAACCTGTTCTAGTGTCCCCCCACCCTCACAGGAAAGAATTTCTAGTATCGAATCTAAATCTCCCTTCTTTCAGTTTAAAACCATTACCCCTCGTCCTGTTGCTACACTCCCTCATAGAGTCCTACCTCCATCTCTCCTGTAGGCTGGCTCCAGCCCCGTGAGGAGGAATGGGGCAACAGTGAGGTTCCAACGAGGAGCAATGGGGCAACAGTGAGGAGCAATGGGGCAACAGCACGCACGTGTTGTGGGATGGGCACCTCCTCCATCTGCCTCCCCACAGCAGGCATGGGGGAAGCTCTCAGGAGAACCCCCCACCCTGGGCACCTCCACGCAAGAGCAATGAGGGTCTTTGCCCTGTCCTCTCCATCACCAAACCTGCTCCTGCCACCAGCTGGGTGCCCTCCAGGCCACGCTGCCCCCGGCCATGCCTGCGGGTGAGGATGGAGGAGCGGGGCAGGCGGCAGAGGTGGCCACAGCCAGCCTCGTCAGCAGGCCGGAGCAGCTGGCAGCAAGGCATCAACCAAATAAATGGCTTGATTGCCCCGTTATTAGTTACTAAATTAAACCTTTTGTCAGCACTTAGCAAATGCCGAGCTGCCGGCTCCTGGCCTCGACCCAGGAAAAGGGACACCCTGATCCAGGGCTGCCATCCTCCCTGGACCAGGGCTGTGTGTCCCCGGGAGGCTGGCTCTGCCCTGGGTGAGGTGGCCAAGGTGGCCACCGTGTGCCTTCCTGCTCCTGGCCAGCCAGGGAGCAAAGGCAGAGGGTCTGGTCACCCCGTGGGGCTCTGCAGCAGCTCTGGGATGTCAAACTGCCTTCTCCTGCGGGAGAAAGAGGTTTTTCCTCGTTTCCTCAGTTGGGAAAAGTGGCCACGCAGACCTACACAAAGGTAAAAGTGGCTGAAGAGGCAACATTTCCCATCTTCGGCTGTGGAGATGGCACTTTCGGGGTGAGTCCAGCCGTCCCCAGCCCGAAAGTCTTCTCGTGCGCTGGTCTTTAAACCAACACCAGAAATTTGAGTTTAGAAATCTTACCCCAACCGTTCTTACCCATCCCAATCAGGAAAGGCGCCTGCAGCAAAATGGCTCCCGAGTCGTGGTTGAAAGCCGTGTCCTACTTTAAGCAGGGACAGAGGTTCTGCCCCGCGTGGTGCCTCATGCACAGCCCTTAGGGGAGAGATCTGATTTCCCAAGGAATCTCTAACATCTTCCTTCAACTGCGCTTCCTCTCCTCATTTCCCTCCCCCCTACCCCCCCCGCCGCTGCACTAGAAACAAGAGCCAGCGTAACCCAGGTTTTTATCCTCAAATTTTACTGTAATTAAAATACAGAGATGCAGAATATTCCCAGAAACACACTGCAAAAACAAACCGAGCGAACAAATTCAGTAGGAAAAAAACCAATTACAGACGATGAAATGGTAAAGAACAGAAGTGTTCTCCGGAGCCCAGCGCCGTGCACGGGACCGCGCGGCCGCGGTGACGGCTTTGGGTGGCCCTTTGGGTGGCCAAAGGGCTCCACGGTCCCTGGAGAAGCAGAGTTGGGCCCTGGCATCCATCCTGGTGGCTCTGTGGCTCTCTCCAAGCCACCTCCACGTTCCCACTCGCCCCGTTGTTTTCCCAAGGATGACTTTGCAATGGAGACACAGAAATGACCCACCCCCGGGGGACTAAGAGCCAACGAGAGAAGCCAGAGGAATAAAAAAAAAAAAAAGTGGGTTTAAGAATTTCCACACACGAAAAAAAAACACCAGAGGGGACAGAGAGGGGTGGAAGACATGCACTTCTCTCCCAGCCAGGGGGGCTGTGGGGGCAGAGTCACCCTCTCTGCCCTCCCAGCCAATATGAGCGTGGATGTTTAATGAAGGTCTCGGTGAGAGCTTCGGAGAGCTCTGTCCAGGGGCAAGACAAAAAGCTAAGGGAGGGATAAAAAAGCAAAGGATAATGAGACCAGCAAAGCGAAGAGGGAGGACATGCCTGGGGGCTCTCCTCTCAGCTGGGGCACATTCCTCGGGTATGGGGGACACCCAGATGTGGCGGGGCACAGGGTTGCGTGTAGGGCCACATCCTACCTCCACCATGGGGAGCCTGGGGGAAATCTGGGAAGGCAGGGGGTGAGGAGGATGCTGATGTGGCGCTTGGACCATCCCTCGGGCACACTGATCTAGCTACATGGAAGCAGCAAGCAATGATTACTACTATGGAAGCAGGGCACCAGCCAGGTGTGGGCCACCACCGCACACCAAAACCTACATTTGTTCACTTTCCTCCCCATGCTCTTCCCTAGGACAACTCCATCACATCCACCCTCTGATTCAGAGCCTGTCCAAAGAAACAAATTCCCTCCACATGCTCCCCCTTACCTTGCTCCCCGACTCTTACTCTCTCCTCACCTCCTCCTGTCACCAGTCCCTCCTCATCTTCATACTGTCACCCGAAAGCTGGTACTACCAGCTTGTACTACCTCCCTTCATCCTTCCCTTGGTGATGCCCCCCAACTCTTGTACCAAGTCCCCCCTGCCCAGTATCAATGGAATTTATGTACAATGGTAGTTTTTGCCCTTCTTACCACGAAGCTGGGGTGGGAGACGGGCTGCACCAGTGGCCCAGGTAGACTTTGAGGTGGCTGAAGTCTTGGTAGTGGGGGAAAGAGGAAAGACAGGGCATCCATCAGGAGCCGAGAACTTCCCCATCTGATTCAGGTCCTACCATTCTGCAACCAAAGCTGTCAGGAGGCATCTTTGCTCTTAGACTGAGAACATCAACCTTGTTTTTCTTCTGCTCTGGCTCCAAGAGTGCCCAGAAAAGCAGCCTGGGGCTGGGTCACCTGGGTGAACTCAGCAGGCCTAGCATACTAATAGAGACAGACTTTCCAGAGACCTTTTGAGTCCTGCATAGTTATATATTCCTGAATGCCCATTAAATGGTGTGAGGCCCTGGTTTCGGAGCAGATTTAATCTTTTACCCGTACCTGCTAGTTTGCCCTCTTTTGCTATTTATGGTCCACGAGTTCCCCATTAGCTGGGCTCTAAGAACAGTGATTTAGGCTGTGAGTTCCCCTCACACCTCTTCTGCCCTTCTCCAGGCCATCCCACAAGGAAACAGCAGTTCCAGACAAATGAAGAAATTTACTCCATTTACTCCAAGAACGCACAGAAGAGTAGAAATAAAAAGATGGGAAACCCTCAGGACCCCCGTGGCCTTCCTTATCCCATTTCCCACCCCTGTCCTGCACACACGGTGCCTGCAGACAACGGTTTGGGAAGAACACACTGCCTCCTCCAGCCTGTGTGGGACATCTGCGAGCCAGAAGCACGACAAGCTTCCCATCACCTGCCCAGGGGTGGCTGGTGAAGTAAAGCCCCTTAGAAACTATCTTCACAGAATCATGGCATTGTTGCAGTTGGAAGGGACCTCTAGAGATCATCCAGTCCAACCCCCCTGCCAAAGCAGGGTTGCCCAGAGCACATCACTCAGGACGGCATCCAGGTGGGGCTTGGAGATCTCCAGAGAAGGGGACTCCACACCCTCCCTGGGCAGCCTCTTCCAGGGCTCTGCCACCCTCACCCCAAAGAAGCTCTTCCTCATATTTCAGTGGAACTTCCCATGTTCCAGCTTGTGCCCGTTGCCCCTCGTCCTGTCACTGGGAACCACTGAAAAGAGTCCGGCTCCATCCTCCTTCAACCCACCCTTTGGATACTTGTAAACATAGATGAGGTCTCCCCTCAGCCTTCTCTTCTCCAGGCTAAAGAGCCCCAGCTCTCTCAGCCTTTCCTCATCAGGGAGATGCTCCAATCCCTCAATCACCTTTGTTGCCCTATGTTGGACTCTTCCAGCAGTTCCCTGTCTCTCTTGAACTGGGGAGCCCCGAACTGGACGCAGGATTCCAGTTGTGGCCTCACCAGTGCAGAGCAGAGGGGGAGAAGGACCTCCCTTGACCTACTGGCCACACTCTTCCCAATGGCAGCCCAGGATCCCATTGGCCCTCTTGGCCACAAGGGCACATTGCTGGCTCATGGAGAGTTTATTATCCACCAGAACCTCCAGATCCTTCTCCTCAGTAGTGCTTTGCAGAAAGCTTCTCCTGCCCAAGGCGCGGGAGGGGCGGTTAGGAAGAAGAGTGTCTTCTGGCCCAACTGGTAAGAAACCATATCTCTCTAAGAGGGCTGGTGACAGCACGGCTCGTTACACACAGGCAGCTTTTAGCTCTGGGGTCAGAGCTGGCTTCAAGAGCAGCCTGTGATCTGGAATAAGGAAGGGGAGGCGCTCAGGGAGAGCGCTGAGCAGAGAGCTCCAGGCCGTGCAAACCGCCCTCCTGCTCCGCGGGGCATCCCAGACAAAGGAAGAACAGAGGAGACCTCTTCTGGCCTTGCCAACCGCCACGAGCACCCCAGCAAAGGGCAAGCACACATCAAGGCCTGATCTTTACTGTGAAACCGCTGCCTTCAGAGACAAAACCAAGGCGTCTGGGTCAACCTGGCCTTCGCCAGAACAAAAAGAGACAAAGCCAGGAAACGCACACGCGTACCAAGCGCCGTTTCCTCTTCAACAGAAGACGTAGGTTAAACCACCCTCGTGCTATCAAGAGGAACACGCCGTGGAGATCAGCCAACTTCTCGCCGCTGCAAACGGCAGGGACTACCCAGCGGAGGGTACGGCGAGAGGCTGACGCCAGCGGGACTCGCAGAGGGACACAGAGACGTAGGTCAGGCCCAAAACCACGGATTTAATAAAGGTCGGAATGAAAACCGCTTCACAAGCCCAAGAACATTCAGCAAAAATGTTGGAAGTGGGAGGTGGGGGGTGTTTCTACTTAAATATTCCCTGATGTCCGAGTCCTAAGCACAAGAGAGCAGCCAGGAAGCGCAACGGCCCCCGATGGGAAATGAAGATGAAGGAAGTTGGCTCCAGCGTCCAAAAGATAGGGCAGAGAGTAAACAAACCATAAATGGGAGAGAGGGGATTTTTCACATTCCTTTGGTTTCAATAAACTATGCTTTCGGGCAACAGAGGGGAAAACATCCTCTAAAACATTGCTTTTCTTTTGACCAGGACCTTTATACAAAAACTATACGCTGGAAGTGCCGCAGATGATGGTGTGAACTCCTCCGCAGCAGCAGTGGCACAGCTCTGCTTCCCTGGCCAAAGACATGTCCCTGGACTGACACACACGCACACGCTAACACAGATGCAGATTTATAAACTACAGCACAAGCACTGCTTCACTTCTCTATGCATCCCACACCTAACGACCTAGGCTAATCACCCGCCAAAGCCAGGAGCGGCAGAGTTAATGGTGGAGCCTGTGGCTTCCCTCATCCCGGGAGTTACAGGGGGAGTGAGTGTGTGTGTGTGTGTGTGTACGTGTGCGAGTGTGTGTGCAGGATGCCCCACAGCCCCCTTGAGCATCACGGGCCAGGCTGAGGATGGCTGTGACTCCCAGGTGAATGCAGGTGTCCGGGGTGTCTGCAGCACTATGAGTGTGGGTGGGCTTAATTAGTGCAACACGGTCATTTAGAGGAGCCGGGCTGGAGCCCCAAGAGCAGGGTGAGGAGGAGGAGTTGCTGGTGCCCCACGTGGGCTGGCTGCTGCTGGAGGACACTCAACCCTTTGGAGAAGCGTTCTCCAACATGAGACAGCCACTCCTGGGGTCACAAGGAGAACCTCCCCTCCCAACCCTGCAGCAGAACTTGGGTGGCATTTGGGAACAGGCTTGCTCGTGGTTATTAACGACGTCTGTGGAGTGAGAGCGTGGCCAGAATGGTGGTCAAAATGCCCCTGTTACAGATGGGGAAGCTGCCAGGACTTTATGGGTCAAACCCAGTTTGTGTCTCTGTGGAGCATCACTACCTGTGCTTGCAGCATCACACAGGCCTGGCAGATGCCACCATCACCTGGGAACGGGAACATACAGCAGCCTTCCTCTTCCTGCCTCTCACCAAGAAAATTTATGCAGAAGTTGATGGCCTGGGACATACGATACTCTTGCGTGGCATCATCCCTGGAGCTGCTCTGCTGAGCTTGTGGGTTCCTTCTCTGAAGGGTGCAATTCAGCCAGGGAGTAAGAGATTGGGAGCAGCTTGTGGGATGGGCCCTGCAAAGAAAAAACATAAGGGGTGCAGGGCGGGAGGGAGGCTTCCCCCTCTTCACAGTATCTCTCCTTTGTGTCAACGGGACTTTTCTTCTACAGTTCTCCGCCAGGCAGAGCCCCCAAACACACCTTCCAGAGCCAAGGGAAGGGGTGTTCCAGAGGCTGTCTTCCCAGCTGAAGTTGAATTTGACTACATCACCCACACTTCAAGCAAGGCATAGTTCCTCCCCCTCCCCTCTTACTCCCCCCGCCTCCAGGCAGATGGAGCCTAACACCCTCTCCCACCTTTCCCTGCTTCCAAGAGCAAGAGGAGGGAGGAAGGGAACTGCAAGACAGGGACAACGGCGCCTTGAAAGCCCTCAGACCAGAGATGGTTCCTGGAAGGTGGTGGGAGTGAAAGAAAGGCATTGACAGAGGCTCTGTGACCTTTGAGCCAGGCAGGCGGTGCTGAGCAGGCTGCAGCCAGAGTCTGCTGGGGTCCTCGACCCTCCCTGAAGAGGCTGGTTCCAACCCGAAGAGGTGCCGTGTAGGGGGAGAGGAGGGGCAGGTTGATCTTTCGGAAGGGAGCTTCAAGGAGTGGGGTGAGGTGGGGTGGGGGGACGGGCAGGATTAGTCAGCCTTGTCCTTCTTCTTGGCGGTGAAAGGGACTTTGCTGGCCACCGCGCTGCCCACCGCTCCGACGCCGCCGGTCACCGCCGAGACGCTGCCCTTCACCAGTCCGACGCCAGCAGCGGGGACGCTGGTCACGGCTGTTTTGGTGAGCTCCAGGCTCTTGCTGCCCACCCAGGCAACTCCTCCCAACGTGGCCCCCACGGCTCCCCGGGTGATACTGAACAGGCCGCCCGTCACCCTCCAGATCACCCCTGCCTGCTGCTGCGGGTGGTCCTTGCTGGCATCTGTGGGGAGAGAGAGAAAAGGACAGTCAGAAGCATCCACGTCAAAGACCTTCTCCCTGGGCACCTCTTCCAGTCCAGGAGGGTTCTCCACCATGGTTCACCCTCCTGTTATGTGCAGTTCCTCGCAGCCCCAGACCTCTTGGTGTCTGAAGGAGGGATCCCAGGTCTCCAGCCTGGCAGGAGAGGACATTGGGAGGGTGGGGAGTGGGAACAGAATCACTCATGTGACAGAGAAGGGAGGAAGGTGGCCCAGTTACAGCCCCAAACCTGCAAGCCTCAGTGCTGCGATGCAAAGCAAATCCCACGAAGAGGAGACATAATTCCCTTCCCCTGAGTGTTGGCCAACACAGGTACCTCACAGAGAGTGATGCCAGCACCGGAGGCACCAACTGCAGACGGCAAGAGCTGACGTCTGCGTGGCCTGCAGGTCCTCAGAAACATCTGTTTGGAGGCAGGTCCGCATGGATGCGGGATGCAGGACCAGGGCACGGCACAGACCCACCTGCCAGACAGCGAACCGCAGCGAAGACACGGTGACACGGACATCACCTCGGGTTGTACAAACCCTCCGGAGATCTCAGCAACATATTTAATAGTGTTAAGACAAGTGCTGAGGTTGCTACGCCATGTCGCTGCTGGTTTACCTGTGCCAATTGGACAGATATACCCACCTGGGCTGCCACCCCACCAGACTGCAGACATAGCCTTCACCGCTCACCACTTCTTGGGAGAGGGCTGAGGAGTCAACTCCTGCTCACGGGACCCAAACCTGACAGGTCTCCCACCAGCCTCCACCCAGTCTTCTGCCCTGGCATCAGCCAGCGATGCCCCCTGTGCGGGCAGCCAAGGAGGAGCTGCTCTTTTTGCAGGGAAGAGATATTTTGGATACTCTGACTTCCGATTCGCTGCCAGTTCCGTACTCGAGATGAGTAACTAATAATTGCAAAAATACAATAAAGCAATCCTGGCAGGAAAAGAGAAGCAAGCACCAGCTGGGAATACAGAACCCCTGGACCAGCAGCAGCCCTTCCATCCCACTACCTGCTCAGAGGAGAGGATGCAGAGGCTGATGCAGCAGGAGGGCTTTAGCCCCCATGCTAATTGCTCAACCCCGTTTCCTGAGGAGCGGGGACATGGCAGGGATGGAAGTGGCTTTCTGAAAGCCTGCCTAAAAATATGGTGCAGTTTTGCATCTGCAGAGAGCCCAGGATGGGAGCTGTGCAGAGCTCTGCAGAGGCTCCACCAGCACCCCAAGAAAGGGGCCATCTGCCCTGCACAGCCCTGTGCGCACCCGTCCCCCCCGGCATGGGACCAAAGAGGGGGACACCCCGGCTGTAGCATCCCAGTTCAGCCACCCGCTCAGACTGGGCTGCTCAGAGGGACTCACCCCCAACCTAAGCAGGGGCACAAGCTTAATACAGCCGCCGGGAAGTAGGCGAGAGCTGCTGGCTGTCTCTTTTGAGACCCCAGCCCTCCCACTGCATTCTCCAACACTCTCAGCTCCCTTTCCTCTAAAGCTCCCTGCTCCCCGAGAAGAAAAGCCCCCTCATTTATCCAGCCCGGCAGCAGCTTCCTTCCTCGATCACTAATAACATTTCCAGGTAGCAAAAAAACCCCACTTTGATGTCTCCACCCACTCTCCTTTCCAGGCGGGTCAGAGCTGATGCTGATGTACCCTGTGAATCCTTCCCAGCAGGGACCATCTTCCTGTTGTCGTGTGTAGGGTCTCCAAGCACTGCTCGAAAACAAGCTTTTTTCTTTTCTTCTTTTTTTTTTTTTTTTAAACAAACCAACCAGAAGTCTGACAGAAAACACTCGGCAGCAGCAGGGCAGGGATTTTATCCTTGGAAGCATCAGCTGCCCCGGGGGTGCTGGATGCACGCAGCTGAAGGGAGGACCTGACCTTGCCAAAGGGATCAGAGCTGCTGCCATTTTCTCTTAGGGAACAAATTAAGATGTCTTCAGATCCAAATTGCTAACTTTTCGGCACTTAACATAGGAGTTTGAGTCAGGAGATTTGATTCCTCTGGCTCCATCTCGAGCCAGGGAAGAGAAGGGGGCTTCTTCAGAGGAGGCTGCACACACTAACCTAACTTGGGGTGGCATGAGTCTGAGTTAAGTGATGTGATGATCCTTCCCTAGTTATTTTTATGCTGGATTCTTCTAAAATTCTGCAGATTTTGGAGTGTTACCAGGAGTTAAGGGTTCTTCCCCGAGCTTGACCCAGACTGTAGAGAGCTCTCCCCTGGGCAGGTCTTAGGACAGTGCCTGTGAGGAGTCTGGTGTTCACCAGCTCTGATGACTTGGAATAAGCCTTAGGCTACACACATCTAATAATCTGGGCAGCAAAAAGGAGTTTGAGAGGGACCAGTACAGAGTTTCTGGTGTAGTCTAAGCAGCTACAGTTCTACCTGGTATCAGACATAGGGCTTGCCCATTCCTCAACAGCTTCTCTATGTGTTTGGTTCTTCTCCCTCTCCTTCAATGTTACTGAGACCCCTTGGCTCCATTTCCCATTCAGTTGCAGCCTCCCAGCTGCTGCACACAGTTTATCCTGTACAGCCACTTGCGTTTTCTGTCTTCAGAAGGAGGGAGGGAAGAACAGAGGGATCCAGAATCATAGAATCATAGAATCATATGGGGTTGGAAGGGACCTCTGGAGATCATCTAGTCCAACCCCCCCCCACCGGAGCAGGTCTACCTACAGCACGTTGCACAGGAACGTGTCCAGGCGGGTTCTGAATGTCTCCAGAGAAAGAGATTCCACCACCTCTCTGGGCAGCATGTTCCAGGGCTCTGCCACCATCAAAGTAAAGAAGTTCTTCCTCATGTTTAGGTGGAACTTCTCATATTCAAGTTTGTGCCCATTTCCTCTTGTCCTGTCAATCCATGAGCCTTTAAAGCAGGACTCCACTCAGCAAAAATCAGTCTGGTGCTCCAAACAAACACCATCCTCAGAGGATGGCAGGTCTTGGCGTTCCCACTCCCAGGCCCAGGGAAGCAGGATCCTTTGCCTCCCATCAGAGGACTGCAATGCAGAAGCTCTGGGGATTAAAGACCTAGTGTCGTGCTCAGCTGCAGAACCAAAAAGTCTATCAATACAGCAATAATCTTCCTGGTTCTCCCCAGGTAAACCTGCATCTGAGGCTACCTGGAACCCCTCTGCCTATGTTCCAGTTGACCCGAGGCTGCTGGAGCTGCCCAGCTCTCTGAACAACACTAGTGTCACAATCCCTCAGATGATAGCTGGATGCCTGCAGCTGCCCCCAGGAGGCAACTGCAGATGAGATTGAGGGGGGACGTTACTCTGCCAGCAGAGAGCTAAAACGTATCGGAGACAAGTGTCAGGAAGTACTAATGAAGAAGGACAAGGACAAAGGTTCTTTCTGATGAAGCTAGGCAGAGACAAGAAACCTGCAGCACACTGGAGCACCAGTGCTCACACGCTGCTTGCACACCTGGTCTGGCAGCCATTCTCATGGTCCTTAGAGCTCCAGAGGCAGCCCTAGGAAGGGTGGAAGGCTCTTCCAGCAGCTCCAACATAGACCAGAAGCTTTACCATAAAAAAAAAAAAAAACCCAAACAAAACTCAGGTTTGAATAAAGGTGAAAACAGAAAGACATACCTTGTGACCCCGACCACAAGGGGCCACATCCCAACCTGGCAGAAGCTGAAATAGGTCATATTCGTTCTATATTCCAGATGATGTGTGGAAAGCTTTCTAGCCATCCCTGCTTAGTTTGTCTTCAGGACTGCTATAAACCCCACAGTAAGCTGTCATGTAAGATAAGCATCAGATTTACAGTGCAAATTAGTCTCACAGACAATGGAGTGAGCTAAGCATTTTGTTGGCACAGAGGAGCCCAGATTAAGGGCAAGAGAGACAGCAGAGATGAAATACACAAAATAATCAGAGAGACAGACACACAGCCTGAGCAGGGGAACAATTCTGTTCCCCGGAGCCCGCTGCAGCCCATGCTGCTCATGAAAGCTCTTCACCATCTGCCAAGCCCTTTTTCCTTTCCATCGATGACCTGGCCTCTTCGAGGGTCCCTTCAGCTTCACTTCACCCCATGTCAGCTTAGAAGAGAAGAAGGAGGAGAAAAAGAGATGAATAAAATGCGCTTTGGTGTGAAAACCCTCTCTGGGCTGGGGTCAGCACCCCACACAACAGGGTCTTCTCCTCGGCCACAGCCCTCCGTGGTCCCGCTGGCTTCCCTCCCGAGCAGGGGTCCTCCCTGCTGGGGCTCCAGACAGCGCTGGCTTTTCTCCTCTGATCCCAACAGCATCTGTGACTGAGGGCAGAAGCCAGATCAGTTTGTGGGTAATAACAGATACAACTCTCAAAGCTTCCACGGCGGCTCCTCCAGGGCTTTGCAACTGCATTGATTTGGTGAGAAGAAACGATAGCCCGCGCCGGTGCCCACCACAAATGGCACTGGCATTATCCTTCCCGGCAGTTGAGACGGCCGGCAGGGAGAATTCTTTACTTCAAGAAGGACTTGTACAAGTTGCTCTTTCCTACCAACTCATAAAAACAGCCCCAAGCCAGGAAAGCAGTGTCAGGGAGCAGCGCACGGATGGTTTTGCATCTTTAGGACACTTCCATCCCTGCTGGGCCCCAGGCAAAGGAGCTGGGCTGGCTCAGAGACCACAATGTAAACAGCCCATGTCATCAGCCTGTCCCTCAGCAGACGTGAGAGGAAGGGATGAGGTCACCAGTTCAAGCCTGAATTACGCCTCTGGCAGCTATTAAGGGACCACTGGTGGATTTAGGCAGGTTCCCCTACCTAGAAAAATGTTTGGTCTGGAGGAACAAGGAAGGGGTGGAGGGTCAGCTACTCGCACAGTCTAGTCCCAGCTTTGCCCAGCTGATTTTTAAGCAACACTGAGCAAATCGCTTTGACCTTTACTGCCTCTGCACCACTGTGATTGAGAACGTGTGATTTTCTAAAAGCCTTGGTTATTGAGTCATAAAAAAGCGTGTATGGCAGAGAAGT